AATGTAATTTTATTTTGTAATATCGTGTTAATATATTTATTGTATTTATTTATTTATGTATTAAACGGTGTGACATAAAGTAAGATAAACTGAAAAGTGTACTAAAATGTGTGATAATAAATAATTATTTATTACAATACACAAAAATGCTTTAAATAAATATCATTCCTATTTTGTAATATGACAAAGTTAATTACATTTTATCGTATATCTTTTATATTATTACAAAAGCATATAAGGGGAAAAAACTTTATTTTATTGCTGACTATATTTGTACTTTTTTAATAATGTTTGTGTTATTGATGTAATTGGAGGATAAAAGCAATTTAAATATGCAATCCCATATTTAAAATCAGTTATAGAGAATTAATTTGAGCACAATCTATGGATATTATTTGCAAATTAATAAATATTTTATTAATATACTATGGATATAAGTATTACTTACATTACATCATTATACACTACTATACATTCAAAAGTGTATAATGTGGAAATAATAATATACATTTAAATGAATATTTCGAAAACACTAAAGTAATATTTTATAATTATTAATTGAAACCTTTTAATTTTAATAATGTTGCAACATCTACGAATTATTGTAATTCGATTCAGTTTTTCTATCAAGGTAATTAATTGAAATTATTCAGCAATAATTTATATACCTATTATTAAAATCACCTATTAATTCAATACGATTTTAGTTCTATGAGGAAATAAAATTTAAGGTAATAAATTCCATTTTACATTTACAGGATTTCTTAGTCCTGAATTTCTTTCAGAAAGATGTGCAAGTTTCGAATGTCTACCATTAGATGTCGCAATGCGCACCAAACTAAGAAATTAAGGCAGTTTCAAAACAGGTATTCTTAAGTCGGTAATCCTAAGGGACGAACTAATACGATGTATCATGTATTACATTTTTATATATATTTTACGTATATTTTAATATAAAAATATAAAGTATATATACAATATAAAAAATGGATATTACAACCTAAAAAAAAAGCAGATATTTTGCTATAACAGTATTAGGTATTATTTTCTGACTTACTTTTTTCTGCAATGTGTTTTTAATAGACATCAAAATTATAACGATGTAACACGTGAGAAGAGCGAAACATGGGAAATAAAGTCACGAAAATAAACCGATCTTTTTCACACGACACTATATCAGAGATACACAATGGGCGCGCTGAAATCGCTACTTTCTCCCACGTTAAAAATGCAGGAAATAGAAACACGCACGAAATAAATCGAGTGTTCTCTAATGAAAATACCGCGTCACAATACTGTTAAATTAAACAAATAAAGCACACGTGGTGTGGTCACGTGTTAGGCCTGTCCCTGCCGCTTTGTCACGTGTCGTCCGTGCAAACAGACACCATTGAATTGCGGAATCTGCAGGATGTCATTAACGATGTATTGTGCATCGAAAAGAACAGTCAAAAGATCCCACGAAGCACCCCATGGAAACAGGATCGCGTGAAAGATGAATCTCACATAGGTAAGTAGATATATTTCTCACAAGTAAACCCCTTTCATTTATACTCAATTAACAATGTTTCGACTAAAATAGAATCTGTAAGATACGCGGCGTAACACGACGATGGTTAACTGTCAACCCAAACACAGCGAGGCGAGTAAACACACGTGGTTTCGGAGGTTAAGGTTAGGTACGTCTTTTTGTTGACACGTTAAGCGTTCACTGGCGACGATGAGTATTGGTTTCTTTTTCTAGAAATAGGTGTCTCTGTAATCGACACGATCGCCAACGATAAATTAAAACACGGCAGAATGTAAATCAGCATCTAGATAGGTAAGCAAGGACCCCGTTGGGGAACCAACGGGTCTCCTTTCAAATTTATCCGGCTATCCTTTTCATCTCTAACTGCTCTTAGATTAGAAGACAGACGCTGTGGTGAAGAAAAAGACCGCGAATTCTGCGGAAAGAGAGAGAAAGAAGAGAAAAGACGGAGGATGCGCGATCGTCTCTCGAGGCCCCCAAATATCCGCGTGGGCCCTTCGGTTTCGAGGAGCACCGGTCCCTAATAACAGGGTACACCGAGGCTAAACAAACATACACGCCCCTGGCATCTCTCGTTGAAAGAACACACGAGAAGAAATGTAAAACAAAACAGGGCAAAAAAAAAGAAACAATTTAGCCACGCCACTTAAAGGATGCAAGGTGAAGTATGATAGGTACTGAAAGATTCAACAGAAAATCAAGTACATGCCTCGCTTGGCTGAGGTATACGCTGTTCGTAAATTTTAATCCGACAGATAGGAGCAAAAGGTATGGAGGATAAAAGGATCAAAGGACCAACAAAAGTTTCGATTCTGATATTTATTAAAATTATAGTGCTGTAATTTCAAGCGATATTTACTCGAACCATGGCCAGGGAAGATATATTTATCTGAAAGGAAGAATAATATGTTAAATGAGAATTTCAATGTAAATACGGTTTATAAATCGTCGATGTAAAACGGTAAGACGTAACTGCTACTCGAATTGTGAATAGCAAATATTTACTTTTACAATTCTCTTCAATCTTACAAATAATTTACTTTAAAGAAAGCAAACGTACATTGTATTCAATAATTAATTCGTTGAGTTCTTTTAATTGTTAATAATTTATTTAAATTTTTTAATAATTTGAAAATAACGAATGTAATATTAATACAATACAAAGTCACTCGGAGAAAAATTATGAGGAAAACAAAATTTTTCAGGTTATTCAAGAAAAATTCAATTCGATTAGTGCTACGTCGAAATTAAAAACAATGACCATTGTTGCTATTGTATGAAGCAAAGAAAACGTATTTAGAAGACAAGCAAAGCTATCATTATTGTTGGTAAAGGTTGGGTAAAGAGAACTGTACTCCTGACATTTCCTGTCGATTCTTCTCGTGTTACTTCACCATTTCTTAAAATGAAAGCCAAAACGTACATATAGAGCTTGAAAGGATCTTAGGCCTGCCATGTAATCAAGGAAAGTAAAGAACGAGAGAGAATGAAACGATGGTTGGCAGGCATTATATCTTGGATTTTAGTATTGTTTCTGAATAGGCCGTGCTATTGTATATGTGCACCTACGGCTTTCTCAATATCCTCGAATACATTGCTTTCTTCATTTCAGAACACCGGTATATCGTATCGATATACCTGAATTGCGACGAAGCAGAGCCACGGATACAGCGTTAAATCGATAGGCCATATTTCTTCTGGTTAAAAAAATGTTTCTAAAATATCGCATAGGCTTCTTAATCTAAATGGAAATACGTAGCGTGAAAGTTAAATGCCTTAAGGGCCGATCCATTTGTCTCTAGCACGTGCAAAAGACCGGCGAAGAGACGCGCAAAATGCGAGTGTACGAGGGTTTGAGTAAAAAGACGCGAAAAAGAAGGAGGAGATGAAGGAGAGGGAGAAGATGGAAAGGAAGAAGAGTATAAGAAAGGAGAAAGAGGAGACGAAGGTAGATGAGACAAGAGCCATTCTGGTTTGTGGGCACAGCCGCTGCCTGCAGCCCACAATTATGATAATAGCCCCTGATCCTGTGTCTTGTTAGTCCAACGTGGAGCCAGCTCCTTTTATCCATATCTTCTTATTTTCAGACTCACCCTTCTGCACCCTCTGCTTACTACAATTTCTACTTTCACCCCTTTGCATCGTTGTAAGGTCAGCCAGAGTCAGATTAATCAGATGAATTTTGTGGAAAGGATACCAACGATTTATCCCTGGAGATAACAACGTGTTTGCGTTTTACAAACATTTCATGCACGCTACCGACTAATTGTAAGAGTTTAGAATCACTGCTCTTTTCATAGTACTGTAAGATCAAAATGAAGTCGTAAAATGAAGCCAAGACGTCTCTAACAGCAATTTCAAATTCATGACAATGTTATTAAAAAGTATAAATTGAGAAATGATTCCAAATTTTCTTTCACAGGACAATGAAATTTATAATACAGAGTTGAACAATTTTTGACAATATCTGAAGATATTAAACTCAAATTTATAATCACATATATAATACTTACTAACAAAAATTAAGAAACAAATTAATAATTTGGGAATATTATATTCTTCATCCTGTGAGATGTAAGATATTATCTCTTCATCCTATCTTTAATTTTACTATACGTTTTTCAGAGGATAAAAGGTATATAAAAATTCATTAAGCGTACATGTATAGCAAGTTGTTGTTCGTTATAAACATAAATTACAAATTTTCATTGTTTTATCCAATAGATATCACAAATGGGAATATGAATGCACTTGGTAATATCAAAGCTCGTACGCAATGGGAGTTAATGATAAATTCAA